TAACCGACTGAGCCACCCAGGCGCCCCAAAGATTTCCTTATTTTAGAGAGAGAGCGGGCATGGGGGAGGGGCAGAGGGAGAGAGAGAATCCTGAAGCAGACTCCCGGCTGAGTGTGGAGCCCGACACAGTGCTCGATCCCAGGACCCTGAGATCACGACCTGAGCCAAAATCAAGAGTCTGCCGCTTAACCCACTGAGCCACCCAGGTGCCACCCCGCTGAAACTTTTATTTCTAATATATTGTCAGTAGATTCTCCTGCACATTCTATGTTAATAATTATCTGCAAATGACACTTTTCTTTTCCCTTCCAATATTTACATATATTTTTCTTTTCTCCCCCATGCTTTGGCTAGTTCCTCAAGGACAATGTTGAAGAGTGGCAGTGACCCTGAGCATCATCTTGTTCCTCACCTGAATGGGTTTCTAATCCCTTGCCTTTGGTTATAACATTTGCTGCAGTTTCTAGTATAGCTTCTTTGTCGGCCTAAGAAAGTTTCCTCATAGGCCTGGTTTGCTGAGAGCTTCCTTCCTCCTCCCTCCATCCCTTCTTCCTTCTCTCCCTCCAGAAATGATGTTGGACTTGATCATATGACATTTTTACATGGATTGAGATTGTGTCAGGCTTTGCCTGTTTAGAAAGTCAATGTCATGAACTATATTGAGCCATCTTTGCTTTCCCGGGGAAGATCCCAGCAAGGTCATGATATGTTGTTTTTTTAATGCTGCTGAACTTGCTTTGCCAGTGGTTTTGCTTGTTTGTTTTTGGTGTCTACTTTCAAATGCTAAACCTATAATTTCTTGCCTGCTCTGCCCTTGTCTTGTTGACACTGGATCATGCTAGCTTGTGGGCTCCCTCCCCCCTAGTCACTGTCAGAGTTTATATAAGCTTTGGATAACCCTTCCCTTGAAGTTTTAGTAGAAACTGTTTTTACAGTTAAAGGGGCCCCTTACCCATTTTTGAGGTAGAATGTTAGGTTTCTTTTCTGTCTCTTTTAGGACATGTTTTTGGTTTTTTGTTTTTCTTTTTTCTTTTTTCCCCCTCTTCTTGAGTTAGTTTTGTTAATTTATATGGTCTCACAGAATCATCCCTTTTATATAGATTTTTCAAATTGATACAACATCTATGCCTTAGTATTTTAGGATTTTCAGAATCCTTTTTATATCTCTGTGTTCCCTTTACCCTATAGTCTCTGTTTTTATCTATTAATTCCTTCCTCCTACTTCCCTCGGGTTTATTTTGTTGTCTTTTAAATATCAGAACTTATTTAGAATTTCTCTTTTTTGTTCCCAACTGTTTTATTTCACCTACTTTTTACTAAATGTAGACTTTTTGTTGAAGTATAACACAGAAAAGTGTACCAATCACAAGCTGTATACCTTCTCTTATAAAGTGAACATGTGCATGAAACCAGCACCCAGATCGAGAGAGGGAACAATGGGGCCCCTGGGTGGCTCTTTCCGTTAAGCTTCTGACTCTCGATTTCAGCTCAGGTCCTGATCTCAGGGTCGTGAGATCGAGCCCTGTGTCCAGCTCCGTGGAGCCTGCTTAAGGTTCTCTCCCTCTCCCTCTGCCCCCACTCTCCCCCGCTTGGGCTCTCTCTTGCTTAAAAAAAAAGAAGAAAAAAGAACATTGCCAGGACCCCTCAGGCCCCCTTTCCAACCACAGCGCCGTCCCTACGTGGCAGTTTTCCTGACTTCTAACTTGTAAGTTAGTTTTGCCATCTTTTGACCTTCCTGTAAGTGGAATCCTACAGTCTGTATGTAGTGTCTGTAGAAGGCCTCTTCCATCATGGTGTGGGTCCATGAGCCAGGGGGACAAAGCACCCCTGAAGACCTGAGCTCGCTGTGTGTGTGGGGGGGGACTCCTGAGACTGAAGTAGCAGGGGGCTAGGAAGGGCAGGACAACACCTATTCTGGGTGCTCAGACCTTTCCAGCCTCCTTTCTCCTTCTTGGTTTTGTTGAAGAAAGGGGAAGTTGCCAAACAGTCAAGGAGGAAGAAGGTGAGGCACTCAGGCCCCGTGGCTCCTGCCATGGAGAGCCTGACTGTGAAATGGAGCTTGGTCACCCCAGCACTGGGGGACTGGGCATGCACTCACTTAGCAAGCTCCCAGTGCATGGATCCTCTTAGCAAAAGAATGAGAAGCTTTGAAGCGTGGCCATTTTCTGCTTGTTCTGTGGGTGGGAACCCAGACCTTCCTTGTGTCCTGGGGCTTCCGCGTGGAGAAGGCGGGGCAGTGGGTGTGGCCTTGGAACTGCAGCGTCTCTTCCTTTCTTGTACTTTTCCTTCTGCACATCCCAAGCTGCCTTTCTCTGACTGCCCTTTCTACCTTTCCCTCTTGTCCTCTTCCGCGCTCTCTTCTGCATCCTTTCCTCCCGCCGCGTTTTCTATGCTCGGCCGTCCCGGCATTTCCTTCCCGCCAGCCCACGGGGCAGTGAATGACTCTCCCCGTCCTCTCTCCCTTTGCCTCTGGCAGGAGATGGGCTGGTGATGAAGATCAAGCCAGAGAAGCCAGAGTGGATGCTGCAGACGCTGGTGCCACAGGCCGAGCTTTCCGAGAAGGATAAGGAAAACATCTTCCAGCAACATCGGGGCCTCCCGCCATGCCAGACCATGGGGAAGCCTCGGGCCTTGGGACAGGAGGAGACTGGGGGTCCAAGGTGGGCCCCTCCCACTGAGCAGGCTGGGGGGCTGGCAGGCCGGGCTCTTTCTGCCGGCGAGGGTCACTTTGTGTGCCTGGACTGCGGGAAGAGGTTCAGCTGGTGGTCGTCCTTGAAGATCCACCAGCGCACGCACACCGGGGAGAAGCCGTACCTGTGCGGCAAGTGCGGCAAGAGCTTCAGCCAGAAGCCCAACCTGGCGCGTCACCAGCGGCACCACACGGGCGAGCGGCCCTTCTGCTGCCCCGAGTGCGCGCGGCGCTTTAGCCAGAAGCAGCACCTGCTCAAGCACCAGAAGACCCACTCGCGGCCCGCCACCCACTCGTGCCCCGAGTGCGCGCGCTGCTTCCGCCACCAGGTGGGCCTCCGCATCCACCAGCGCGCGCACGCCCGGGACCGCCAGGGCGCCCGCCCC